CACATATAGGTACTTCATGTATTATCATAGTATTTCTACGGCAATTGTTTTTATTACAATATTTCTACTTTGGGAATCATTTTTTTCAATTATTGCTTGGAGGTCATTTGTTTCATGGCAACATAATAATGGCGCAGAAAACATTGTTGCAAAAATTTCAAAAAATAAAGAAAATGTTAATTTGTCAAATTCTGTATTAGATCAAAATCAAGAAATTAGATTCGAGGAAGACAATGATAGTAATAATAATATTAGAGATGATAAATGGTTAGAAGTTCGTTATAATGACAAAACCATTGACAGTAAAATTGCCGATTCCGAAAGTGAAAATGAATCGGTAATTGTATTTTAATAATATTAATTGATGATCGATTCAATTTATTTCTATTCTACTTAAAAACTTTATAATCGGGGATTTTTTTTAGTTACCTCCAGGGTTAAATGTAAATTTACAAGTAAATAATGATTCCATATTTGAAACTGATGAAGACGAACATAGTATTGTGTCAAGACCATCATTAGATGAAGAATCCGAGATTGCTGAATCAACTGGTAATAAAACTGATGGAAGTGCTACACCTACTAACATATTTATTCAAAAGAATACTCCAACTAGACTATCAACTACACATGATGATTCTGAAGAAGGCGGCGGAGCATCAACAAGTGGATCTACAACATCTGCTACCTAGGTATATCAAAGATAAATTGGTTACTGATTTTGCATATAGTATCAGCGTTAATTAATACTGGAAGAAGAGTGAGAATCAACAATTTTATATTATATTTCATCATTATATTATATCCATTTATTATTATCAAAAATTATATATATATTATTTTATTATTATTATTATGAATTAAATGGTTTAAATGGATAAAATGGGTTTATAGTTTGTTGAAATTCTGATGATAATAATAAAAATTTGCAACGATATTAAATGAGGTTTTTAAATATATAAATATGAATATTCATTTGAATTAATTAATTTTAAATTTTATGTACTTTAACCATCTGCCATTTATTTTGTGCGTACGTTGACCTTTATCCTGATCATTTACATTTATCGAAATTTGCTTTTCAGATGGATATACCAAACCTCCTCGAGCAAGTAGGTTAAATTATTTGATCAACTTTTTTTGATTTTTTTCCTTTTTTTAACAGAATTCAATACTTATTGATGTCTTTTAGCTTACCAAGAATATTTATCAGTATGATTTGCATGTTCAGTACATTCAAGCACTTCGTCAGGCTGGACTGTTTGAAGAGTTGAAAGATGCAAGGAAAACTATGCATGAAATTTTTCCAATGTCTGAAGGTATTAATTAAAAACCTTAATGATTAGTCTCTGCTATATTGGCTTATATAATTTATTTTCAAATATAGAATTATGGCTTGAGTGGATAGACGATGAAGCTCATATGGCCTCCACAAAAGAAGCAAAACAGAGGATAATTCATATTTTTTCAGAAGCTGTTCAAGATTATTTATGTATGTTATAATCAAAGAGGCCTTGAAATATTAATCTATATTTATATATAATATTTTTATTGAAGCTTTTTATAATTCCACTTTTGTACTTTTAGCCATTAATATTTGGAAGAAATACGCAGATTTTATGGTTCAAGAATATAATGATTCAGAAGAATTGATGGAGGAGTGTTCAGAAAATTCTTTTATAACTTTAGATCAAGTTCGTAAGGTCTTTGATCAAGCAATCAGAGAAATAAATTATTTTATAACACAGGTATATTTTCTTATTAATAAATTTTATGAGTTTGAGTTTATCATTATCAATATATAAATATATTTATTTATATATAATTTAGAGTAACCAAATATGGGATGCCTATATGGATTTTGAAGAAAAAATTTTAGAGGTTCTTATAAATACATAAATAAATTATACATATCCTTGTTTTTTAAAATATTAGTATAAAAAATAACAATTATCAAAGTATAATTTGATAGAAAACACCTAGGTACGTTGATACAAAGAACTGTGATTATTGATATCGATAATGATTATTAAACAGTATATATGTATCATTTTTAAAAGTGACGAAACGCAAAAAAATTTGGTAAAAAGATTGTATTTAAATAGACTGCAGGTGCCACATGCAAGTGAGTTAGTCATATGTATTTAACAAAAAATTTGCAGTCTGAAATAATAATGGAGAAATTTCTTTTAGCCATAGAAAAGACTTGGATGGATTATTCGACTTTCATTACGAATTATGATAATTTAAATTATGAGAAAAACATGTTAGAGGCAATTCAAATTTACAACAAGGCTAAAGATATGTATTATAAAAGAGATCAGTATGAACAATCATTAGTAAGTTTTCCATTTATATTGAAGTTTTAATATACATGATTTACTAATTAATTTATTTATGCCTTTTTTACCCAATCATTAGCTTGAGTCTGGCTATGCCTTACAACAATTCTTAGATTATATAAATTTTGAGAAAAAACAAAAGCTTCATCCAGCGGTCCTTACTTTGTACGAAAGAGCCCTGTCT